TATAACAACCACATACTCCACTCAAATTTTGGGACGCTGCTCCTAAATGAAGGTTCTTTCTTGTGTGACTTTTTCGGTTTTCTTCTGACGTTTTTCTGGTCTTCCAACATCACAACGATCCTTTCGTCAGCATTTTGATCGCCTTTAACGATCCCAAGCGCTTTGTTGTCAAAGTGTCTGTTCGTTAGACTATCAGCCACCTCATTTACTTTGTCATTTGGCACGACTTTGTGAATCAAAGCGTCTATTGTCGATTTGTTTCCGTTATTCTTTCTCACTTGCAGTAATATGTATGCGTTCGAGATTGTAACTGCGAATGTTTATACACTTGTATAGATTTGATGAGATACCTAAAAACTATGTTACATAAAGATTTAGCGCGGTTTTTCGCAATGATGGTTTGAAGAAATAACACTACTGGCGTGCAATATTCCTTTTTATGGAGGGTAAAAGTAAGGAGAAACATTATAATGTATTTAAAAATGTCCGCTGAAAAGGAGTAAGTAAGGTGGCGCCACAGTAGCAAGTGGAGGGATTTTAAAAACAGCATCATAAACTATTAGATTAGGATACTAAATTGAGAAGGAAAGAAAAACTTCTTACGTAAATAGTAATAAGAATAAATATGTGAGATTTTAAATACTGCATATTTTTAACTATACAAGTTACGAAAAATGTATTAAGAATTTTCAAGTCAGCACACTTCACTCTGTTTAAAACTGCTATATTCATAAAATTTTCACTTCCTACACTAGCGCCATTTCACTGAATCTTCCCACAACAATTCACTGTTTACAGGTAGACACTTATTCAACTTGTCCCCTATACAAGATGATGCTCCTTACTTCTACCCTCCATACGTGTAAGTTAGATATTAAATTGAGTGTATTTATTATTAACAAGTTCAAATCATTATTTTGAATCATCATTACTGTCACTATTATTTTTATTCGATCCTTATAAAGTTTACAAATCTCTTAATCGATGTAATATATCTATTATAGTATTAGAGTACCCACACTTTTCATTGTGTGATTTAAATATTGAACAAACTACGGTATTCTTTCTCGTCCTTATCATTTTCCATTCCGGCTTATCATACATCATCTACTGCACCCTTCTCCCGCCACGTCCTCGTTCGTACACTCCATTTAAGTATTTTTAAGACGTCCGATCCTCACATTATACTAATTTCATACTTATTACATAGTTCATATTTTCATTAAACAAAAACAAATGAAAACCAGCAGACTTTAAGAGCTTTTGTTCATAATCGAGAGTGCTATGACAAATGCTTAAAAGAGGGCTTTTTAACCTAATCACTGGCGTATTAGCAACAGGAGCAGAATAATACGTTTTTCGCGATCCATGTTAAGACAGAAGCTGTATTGGAAACGATGGTGTGCCGGTGCGGTGCACCGTACACGGCACGACGCCGCGCCGTAGTCATCACGGTGGCCGGCGCCGTACCGTAGACATGTATCCACGCCGTAACACAGATTAGGCTGCAGGTACAATCAGGGCCGAGCCGCCCTTGTGTGCAGTGTGCGGTGCACACAGGCGCCAAGACATTATATTACATTACACACATATTATTATATTACACTTACACAACAACAAACTCTTTGTAGTGAAGTATCGTTATGCAAGTATGTACAATAAGAACAACATATGCCTTGTAAATAACAAAAACATAATGTATTTATAGTACAAGTCTCCTAAGATTTACGTCAAAACAATAGTCAATTTTTATTCTTTTTTTTTTATTGCGTATTTGGATGGACGAGCTCACAGCCCACCTGGTGTAAAGTGGTTACTGGAGCCCATAGACATCTACAACGTAAATGCGCCACCCATCTTGAGATATAGGTAAGTTCTAAGATCTCAATATAGTTACAACGGCTGCCCCACCCTTCAAACCGAAACGCATTACTGCTTTACGGCAGAAATAGGCAGGGTGGTGGTACCTATCCGCGCGGACTCACAAGAGGTCCTACCACCAGTAGTAAAAAATAATTTAAAAAAATTTACAAATAATTAAAAAAAATACATTAAAACATGAAGATACGTAAAAATGGGTGGCGCATCATGGGTTTCGCACACAGGCGCTGCCTTTTATCTTCTTTAATATAAAAAAAAAAAAAACGTTACCAGTAAACGAAAACAAACACAATATTTTCGACAAAAACATTATCAATGTTGTTTGCGTCTTAAGAACAATGCTATCGCGTTACGATAGCGATACAACAATAAAATTTGATTGGTCGTCACCTTAATTAAACGGGCTTCTTATAATTATTAGGTCGTATAACGTTAACGTGTTTTCAATGTTTTTCACAATATTTTTACCCCTATCTAATCCTTGGTAGCATAAGATGCTATTACGCCCCAACGGGCGGACCTGAGAGAATTGCTGACACTAGCTCTAGCAAGAGCACTGTTTCACTGAATCTACCACCGGATCGGAAACGCGACCCGCTAAGATGGGGCGAGAAAATCAGTGGGTTGTTTCTATGGGTTAGTTCGCTTCTTGTAATCAATCCCAAGCACCGGTCATCGTTCTCGTCGAACCGGTCACTTGCGACGAAGGGCTCGGAGAGCAAACTACCCACAGCCCACTGAGTTTCTCGCCGGATCTTCTGTGGGTCGCGTTTCAGATCCGGAGGTAGATTCTGCGAAACACTGCTCTTGCTAGGGTCAGTGTTAGCAACGTTGTCAGGTTTAAGCCCCGAGAGCTCACCTACTAGTTAAGGTTACGCTGAATTGGTCTCTCAAGACCATCATGTATGTATGTGCATTAATTTGTAACCCCTCCGCCGATAAAAATCGAGACAAGGTCGTCATGAACTATAAAACCGACATGAAAGGAGTCTCCGTTCAATCAAAAGCGTCTCTGGCCCATATAGCGCCCGTAGTCAAGCGTCACCTTAGCGCTCTAAGAATGCACCCATTGCATGGTAAACGCCAAACACCGCTGCCCATAGATAAGAGCAGCCTCTATATTAACCCTTAGCTTCGAAAGCGAAATTTCTATTATTGGAGTTAAATAAATAGCTCAAGACTCAAACTTAAGCCTTTGAGCGCAAACCGTCGATAAATCGACTCTCTAGTAACGCAGACTATTCCGCAGTTTAATTATAGGTATTACATATAGACCCGTACCTCTTAGCTCGCGCACGTGTAACGTTATTGATAAGTTAATAACATTTATAAATAACCATTTCAAATTATTTCGCTGTGATTGTAGTATTAATTTTTATATTTTTTTAGTTTTTTGTTATGGTACTTTGTTCCAAAAATCCTTTACCATTTTATGCAAAATAAGCTCAGCACTACAAGGGTTAAGTTTCAGTAGTGGCTAAACCCTGGCAACACCGAGCCGCCATCTCCTCTAGCGAAACAAAAGCATTAAAAAAACAACACGTTTAGATATTCAAAATTATTTATTTTCTTCGATTCGAGTTTTTTTTTATTTGACTTTTTTTTCTCACAAGACACACGGCATATGTACAGCATGTTACAATTCCAATAAAAGAAATAAAAACAATTACTTTTTCTGAACTCATGTGTATCTCTGTTTGAATTCTGTAGGGACATTTCTACTAGGGCCCAAATTTGCAACTTTCACAGCACTCGATCATAAAAGGCTGTTTTGTTTAAGCGACATTTTAGCAATTCTACAGGAGAGCCATTAAAGTTTAAAGTAAAAAAATATATCAACGAAAAAAAAATCTTCTTCAGCTATTTGAATGGACTAAACTTAATTGAAGTTCAATTAAACATATGCTAATACGGAATAAAACGCACTGTTAATTACAAAGATAAATGTCGCTTAAACAAAATAACCTTTCACCTCTCGATACACTGCAATAGTCACTATTATATTCAACTTCAAATTCGGACAGGGATTTTACAAAATTAAAAACATCTAAATGCCTCTCTGCACAGATTAGCTTCGTTTAAGAGCGTCAACTCCAACGACCCGTGACATTAATCAATCACTGTCACGCGTCAATCTGACAGCTGTCACATTGCGAATCTAGTTCCGTTTGTATGCAGGGCCTGAGGTGTATGGGCCGATGTAAATCGTAACAATGTAATTTACTTAGAAAGTTTAATGTAGTGATATACGGGGTGAATATTTTAGATGAACCAGCAAAAATTTTAGAACAATCAAGATGCAGTAGCCTTAATTTTTTTTTGCTTAGTTGGGTGGACGAGCTCACAGTGCACCCACCATGAGATATAAGTTCTAAGGTCTCGGTATAGTTACAACGGCTGCCCCGCCCTTCAAACCGAAACCCATTACTGCTTCACGGCAGAAATAGGTAGAGGGTGGCGGTACCTACCCGTGTGTACTCACAAGAGATCCAAACACCATTAGAGCCTTCTTCAGCGAGGCCCATAAGCACATTACGAAAAGTTCAAAAAAGCTATTCAACTACATTATGATGGTGCAAAAAACATGGTCAACCAAAATATCCACCTCATACATACATATTTTAAGATGCATATTTATATATATATATATATATATATAGTTCAAGATGATATCACAGATTTGAAATATATATTGTTTTATGTTAGAAAACATGCTCATATTGAAATGCAGATTGTGGCAACAAATACCATACACTCCAAGAGAAAATGAATTTAATGAGTGAACGAGTTAATGAGGATTTTTTAATGATTTTTCAGAATTTATGAAGAAAAAAGTATACTTAATTTACATTTAAATACAACTGCAAAATGCCATTGGACACTTATTTTGGTTTAAAAATTAATTTTGTTTTTTTTTTTGCTTCTCTTTTGAAACTATTATATTCTGAGATCATTTTTTTTTCATTTTTTCCAGAAATATTTAATTTTTTTTTGTCGTTTATTATATAAATTTAAAGCTAACTATGCATTAATGAAATTAGATTAATTAAACTATCTTTTTTATTTATATTAATAATTAAACAAAATTAATGACAAGATTTTTTTTAATATTTGTGTAAGTTTTTTGTTTTTTTTTTTTTTAAACTCCCACCTAGAGTTAGTCATAAGATGCTTTTTCAGTTCTGCCATACTCACGAGTTTTCCGTCACAGATTCCAAAAAGGCGAACGAACCCAACACGCACGTGGCACCAAAACATTAAAAATAATACTAAGAACAAACCGAAATATACTTAAAAAAACTAAAAAAATATTTTCAAAAATAATTTCGGTGGTATTCCCTTTTCATTTGACGTTCGCGCTTTTAAAAATTAATGACAGCAAAATAAAGAAACTAAAAAAAAAACAATTGATTCCTTAAAAATTAATACAGAAACGCTATGTTACTACATACACTAAAACTCATTCATTAAAATCTTGAAAATTTCATTACATAAACATTTGCAACAGCTTTTAGAACCAATTTTTTTTACGCACACACACACATTAAATCTAAGCAGTATTTAAAAAAAAACCTGGAATCTTCATACAACTATTTTAATTAAAATTCATCACAGAAGAGAAATTAAATGCTTCCAAGAAACGTTTTCCCGCCCATTTTTAATTAAAATATTAAACATTAGACGCTTTTGACTATCAAAACCTCTAACGAGATAGCTCATTCGGTCTTAAGTCTTGCTGGTCGAAAAACGCCTATTTGAAAATAGAAAAAGTTATAAATAAATAAAGCTACTTGACATAACTGGGCTGTATGACGACGGGAATACGCTGCCGAGAAACTTAAATAAAGTCTAAAAACTTTTTGAAAGCAAAAAAGAAAACAATTTAGAATTGCACCAGTTTTTTTCTAATATTCTAAAATAAAGTTCCAATTTATTCGAATGTGATCGTAATAATTAAAATGTTTCGTTCCATTTTTAATTTACAAAAAAGGGAGAAATTTTGGAAAGAAATTGAATTTCGAATTGTACGAATAAGTATTACGTTTACGTTTGAAAACGTAATCTCAAATTTAGAATTTTATTATAAAATTTATCATTTTAAATGTTCGGACGCGGTTTTATTATTATGACCCTTCATGTTTGAAATTTTCCCTTGACCTTTCATTGTTTTTGGAAGGTCCGGATTTGCTGGTCAAATTTAAAAGAGAAATTATTTATAGATGCGCGAATCTCATTTACACCCGAATGAAATTCGATTGAAACTTTGCATCAAAAAAAAAGTAAATAAATTTTGATTTCATTTTCTAATTTCAAATCTCAAATGCGTTCCAGATTTTGGTCGAAGCCATTTACGAATTAGGTGGTAAATTTTATTCTTTTTAAAATTTTTTTTTATTTATTTAGTCATGGGAACTTTTTTTAAAAGTTTGATTTCATAATCGATCGCTTTTATTAATGCCTTTAATATATGCCTATATCAATGACATTCCGTGTGTAAAAAAATTAATTATTTCGAAGTCAAAAAAACTTCGCATATTATGCATGAGAAAAATTGCATTGGCCCTTTGACTGTCGTGTAGGTCACCGGTGCCCTACGCGGCGCACTGAAGTAATTATGTCGATTTCTGTTACTAAGGCGCCTCCATTGCCTTCTATTGTTTGTTAATGTATGTTTTAGTCTCATAGGAATCTTAGAAATACGATTCGTCTTTCCCAGAGTCTACTAGATATTTCGGCGCCTTTAATAACTACTAAATCGACATAATTACTTCAGTGCCTTAAAATCTTCTTCAGTTGCAGGGTTAAATATTCATTCAGCCTTGATTTTTATATTCAGAGATAACAAAATCCGCGCATCTAATATTGCCATACATTATGCCAGACAGTAATAATTTGAGACAAGGATAAAAAGCTCAAATTTTTTTGACAGCGAAACTAATATTACTCCATATAAAAGTACCTTACATACTTGGCGTTCATACAATTGACCCATTTAAGTTTGGCTGTAACTCTGCCACTATTGTAAGAAAAACATTAAGTACGCTTGCATGTTTTAAGGGAATAATTCAATCACACCCAGCACAGTATAGACTACATTTGTAGACTTCGAACACAGTTCCATAGACTGTCACAGATTAAGGCACTAAAGCCATAAACTAGTAATAATTAATGTTGCTTGTGTATTGTAAATTCCACTCGATCCAGACCGACAAAACTAGCCGTTCGTATGTACGCTACACCACTATCACTACACTGGCAACACTAAAAAACTGTCATTGAAAATCAACTGAAATACAACAATTTTTCAGTACACCAATGCTTTAGTTTCTCTCGTTTATCGATGGTATCTGGGACGTCTGATGTTACTGCTGCGATTGCCTTGGACTTGCGGGCTCGAGATGAACTCACCAGTCCACCATATTCAAAGCGGTTGTTATCGTTCAATTGTCACAATAAACCGGCAGCAACGGACTTCTGGGCCAATCTGATGTCTCTTCGCTTACACTACTTTCGCTTCCAGATCTGTAATAATAGAAAGCAGATTACTTTTAATGTTCTACACACACACACAGCTGTTACATAATAGGGTAGAGGTACATTACATATGTTACGTTCCAAATAGGGCACACATACAGCAATCCCCCTGTAAGACGGTAGATTGTTTCTGCGTTACAGGAAACGCCTTGTAGGAGTATACTCGCATAACGCGCTTCTATGACCCCATATAACACGTTATGTACAAATATAATAAATACAGTATAACCAACGTTTTTACAATTCAATAACTATAAACATAAAGGGGAATGCCCACTCTCTATAGTGTGCTAGGCCCAAGGTGGACATCAAATATTACTATAAAAATGGACTGATTCAAGTTCTTAAATGTATTAGATATCTAAAAAATATATTGAAATTGACGCCATTATTATAAAAAATATAATAAAAATAAAAAACTCGTTTTGAGGTTAATTTTCTATATAAATACCTCAAGAACTTTTCTTTTTTTAATGTTTAAGATGTTCCTAATGTATTTTTATCCAATTGTAGTTATTAGGGTATAAAAAACACACATACTTCTTTAAATATCTATATTATTCTATTTTTTCTTCATCTTCATACACAATTAGTAAATCATCTAAAAATAGCACAGGAGAGCATATACACGGTTTTAAATCTCGGTCAGGTTAAAACCACAATTCACACAATGGTTTTCAGCCGTAGTATGAAACGTTATTGATAAAAGCAAAATAAATCGAAGAAAAATCAAAACACATCCATTTTGAACGCAAGCACAAGCAGCAAGCGAAGTGTCAGTCAGTCAGATTAAAATCAGTGTTGTCAGTATAAAGAAAAATAATTACATGAAATTCATATATCGATCATTTTTTTAAATAACCGATATTGGATTTATTTCTTAATCTTTTTTTTACGAGTACACATTATATTTTATTTTTTATGTTTTTGTTTTAGTTGTACATATTTAAATAACAATACAAGTTAAGTTTTTTTTTATTGCTTAGATGGGTGGACGATCTCACAGCCACCCTGGTGTTAAGTGGTTACTGGAGCCCACAAACATCCACAACGTAAATGCGCCACCCACCTTGAGATATAAGTTCTAAGGTCTCAAGTATAGTAACAAGTTAAAGTCCAATGGGTATGTCTTTGATGTTATTTTATGTGCTTAAAATCGATTAAAATCGATTGATTAATGATAATATTTAAAATGATTTATTTATATGTTTTTTTATATACTTAAAATGTTTACTTAATACGTAAAAGGTTTTGAAGTTGGCAATATTTTTCCCGCAAAAATAAAATTCTTGTTTTTTTCAATAGAGTTACTTTTTTTAAACTACTTATTGTAAACTGTAGTGGCGCTTATTTGGAAGAAAGTAAATGCATATTTATTTATGACAAAATTAATGCACTAAGTATTTTTTCTCTAATCTATTGTCCGCTTTGGGCCTGAAATGGGCCGTCCCCTTTAATACATTAATTAAATTTAATATTATAACACAATTGACATTATGAACGGTACAAATCGTTATAAATTTCACAGTACAAATATATACATATATAACGCGTGAAATCCCCGCGTTATATGGGAGAATACCCGTGTTATACCAGAGACTGAATATATGTATTGTATATAATGGGGATTACTGTATATTCTTCTTCTTATTATTAGCACACAGACATCCTGCTGGACATAGCTCCTCCAAGCCTTGCCACAAAGACCGGTACTGCGCTGCCTGCATCCAGCGGATCCCCGCGAACCTCAATATATCCTCGGCCTATCGTAGCGTGGGTCCCACAAAATGGGCCGACGATCTACTGTATATTCATGATGTAGTAAAAAAAAAAAAAACTAAAAACACCACTTGGGTATTATCGTGTTACCTGGTTCTTGTGGGCGTCGCCTCGACAGCGAAGTGCTGTTCCTCAATGGTGGGCAGCAGTGACGTGAGGCGATCGGTAGGACGGAGCACCTGTGGGTTCAATCAGAAATTTTGTATAATTTGTATTACGAAAATTGTTTTGAGTAGACTATTAAAATAAAATGATAAGGAATTATTCATTATTTGGAATCTTAATTTCAGCGTATAACATATCTACAAGTATATGTACATAGAACCTAGTATTAACCGGCAAACAAATATTTAAAATGTACATATCAAGGAAAAACTCAAGCTTAAAATTTCTCATATAAGAAATACAAAACAATGTACGTATATATACATATATTATATATTAATGTAATATTTCATGGTGGTAACCACGTCATTATGGATCCTCCCGATTCATTAACAGTGCTTTTAGGTACCTCAAGCACCGATCACCGTCTTATCGTAAATTAAACCACAGACACAGACACAGCCCACTGAGTATCTCGCCGGATCTTCCCAGTGGGTCGTGTTTCCGATCCGGTGGTAGATTCTGCGAAGGACTGTTCTTGCTAGGACCAGTGCTAGCAACACTCCGGTTTGAGCCCCGTGAGCTCACCTACACGTCAAGGCTATCAGCATTAGTAGGAAAAGAAAAGAAAAGGTGGTATAGTGTGAGTGTAAGTGTGTGTGTGTGTTTGAGGTTGGTCATGTGCGTACGTGCATGTATGTGATGTCTAGTCTCTCATGTGTGGAGCGAAGACAATGCATACCTTGAGGGTTCTCTCGGAGAGTCTCCAGACGAGTCGCTGCCGGAGCGGCTGCGCGCTGCGCGACTCGTAGCGCTGCACCACGCCGCGCACGGCGCCGCCGACGCCGCTCAGGGAAGCGTCCGACATCTGCTCACAGAGGAGACCGTTCATGAGAAGCCGAAATTGATAGACACGATACCTGCTGGAAGCTTACGTCATGGAAGTTTGTTATGTAAAATATTACGTCAATAAGAGTTCCGGAGTGCTCACAACATTAGAGCTGTGCTTTATTAAGCCCATCCCTATTCCACTTTGTTTTACATAGAACTTGTAGGCAGACGAGCATACGGACCACAACGGAGGGAGCACTTTACTCGCCCATCTGTCCTGATGAAATTGGAAAGGCCTCCGGGCCACCAGTAATCCTTGAATGATAAAAAAAGGGACCGCTCCTCAGTGGATCGTCAATTCCGGCAAGGCGCTGAGACTGCGCCCTGGTAATAACCCTGTTATAGGACCTGACATCAGCGTTGGAGTTGGTGGTACCATTGCAAAAATTACCAAGTGTCAATGACATATAAAAAGGGTGAACATCTTACTGTAATAATAATTAACATACTCACATGACAATGAATTTGCAGTTGCCTGGCAAAGTCATACATGTAGAAAACCTTTTCCGGGACAGTCATTCCTTTTTCAGACCATTCGACGAGTTGTTTTTCTGGAAATACAAAGGAATCAATATTAAAATATATATGTTTAAAGTATTATGATTATTCAACTGTACTCTGAGTATGTTTACAAAGTACATGCTCAGAGTGTGTTTACAAACTATATGCCACACTATGTGCACATCAATCAATATTAATTCCATCCAGTCTACCATGAAAATTACAATATATAATTAGGAAAAATATAAAAAAAATGCAAAATTTACAGACACAACCAGGGCTGGTCAAATTATTTATTTAAAAACAAGATTACTCCATAGAAGGCAACTGGAAACAAATCATACCGAAAGGGGAAAGGCCATTTGGTTTATATTATTTAAGGCCATAAGGTTTAGACATTGATGTCGCTTAACACGGGACATTTATCTTTGTAATTACAGGTACGTTTTATTTGGTATCAGCATCAACAGTTGAATGTTTTTAATTCAACTTCAATTAAGTTTACGCCTTGAAATAGCTAAAATCGTTTTAGATTTAAAATTTACTTTTAAATGTAGTTTTTGTTTTAAAATAGTTTAATTAATTTTTTCAAATATTAACCTTTATTTAAATGGCTCTGTGGTAAAGTTGCAATAACATCACTTAAACCACCACAGTCCCCTTTCGATATATACACTACATCTGTAACACTCTTCACTGTCAGGACAGTGTGGAAGCAGGCTTAAGTGAGGAGAGCATTGAAATTTTCAGAAACCTTAATATTTTTAATTTTTATTGCCCTCGTAGGCAGACAAAAGCGTACGGCCCACCTGATGTTGAGTGGTTACCGTCGCACATGGACTTCAGCAATGCCAGGGGCATAACCAAGCCGCTGCCTACCGTTAATATTATGTTAATGGCATTACCTAGTTTATGGAAGAGTAAGACTAGTGCCAGTTCGCTGGTCCGAGCGTTGGCGCAGGTAGCGTCGCACACGGCTATTTCCAGTAGATTTACCAGCTCGCTTTCCTGGGGGCAAAATGTCAAAATGAACCCTTCTAAATATATTTTTTACACTTAAACTATTTGGCGTTCGCATAGAGTTAATAAAGTAACGACTCTTCCGGTTCTTTATTATTTTTACAATATTTATTATTTATTTACGTTTTGGTTGGCTTAAAAGTCTCATTGCCAGGCCATAAATAAAGTCTTCGAATAAAAAATTAAAAATAGATTTTGGTTGAATCCCATTAAACAAATCCGTATGTTATTCTTAGGCCTATTACAATTTTTAAACAGTGTTTTAACTGTAGTCTTGGTCACGAAATTTCATTTAAATTATGATATTGGCTATCTTATCTATCTATAAATCTATCAGATCGAAAAAAATGTACTGTTAAAAATATAAAAACAAGCAAACAAGCAATCAAACTAACAAACAGATGGAATATTACAGATCAATTGGTTACAAATAAAACATAGTATCATTTTTATATCTAACATTCAACATATATAACTGTTCAACAGCTATTCAAAGATGCTGAATAGACCCACCTGCGCCAGTACGTCTCCGGCGTCAGCATGCATCAGCAACAGCTTCCGATACAGTCTGAGCCAGTGCAGAGCCGTCACGCTGACAGTTCCTCGTGCCAATCCCAGCTTGTCCTGAATGACTCGAGACATCCTGGACACGTCGCCAGCGGTGCAGGCCGATTGTGAGATAGACACTGTAATCAATATTTGAAAAAATTATAAAACCATGAAACATCATAATTTTTTTCTAATAAAACATACTTAACAAATGTTCATTATTGACTTTCACAGTGAAAAAAAAAGATTGTGTAATGAAAATTAAAAATAAAAAAAATAAAAAAATTGCGTAATTGCTGGTGGTAGGACCTCTTGTGAGTCCGCGTGGGTAGTTACCACCACCCCGCCTATTTCTGCCGTGAAGCAGTAATGTGTTTCGGTTTGAAGGGCAAGGCAGCCGTTGTAACTATACTTGAGACCTTAGAACTTATATCTCAAGGTGGGTGGCGCATTTACGTTTTAGATGGGCTCCAGTAACCACTTAACACCAGGTGGGCTATGAGCTCGTCCAGCCAACAGTGCAGTAAAAAAAAATCACAGAACCTATTAACTAACATAAATATTAGAGCAAGAGCGTATTACGAGCACTCACAAGTTTACATAATCACTATCCTGTCTATTCAAAGCAGCTCAGCTCTTGGTCCAGTAGCACCAGAGTCAGTAAACAAAGAAAAAAAAAGAAGATAAAAACCAAAAACTCACCCAGCTCCTCTATTGACACTGTCCTTTTTATGTTGGTCCTAGCCGCATACTCGTCTATGGATATGTTCATGCAGGAGACAGTAATGCACGGCACATGACACGGCCTCACCTTCATCTTGGTCAGAAACCTGTTGAAGAAATCCAAGTTGTTACTAAAATAGGAAACAGGTGGAAGAGGCGGGGTTGGCATCGAACTCCTCTTGTAAGATTTAACCCACAAACTTCATTTTACGTCACTTGGGGCTAAAATGTATCAACCATACAGACATACACAATGATATTAGCCACAAGTGACATAATCAACTGGTAGGTTTAGGTAAATTATTTGAAGTATAAACATATTTTAGAAATTATGTTTTTTTTAGTGCTTAATGCCCAAGCTTAAGGTCCATCGACAGCCATCTCAATTGCATTCTACAAAAGGCGGTCAAAAACAGGCAAAAATGCCTTGGGATAATAATACCCATTTTAATATCCCCCTGTATGTAAAGTTAAGTATCACCCTGTTTCTTCTCAATCGTCTCACTCTTGACAGAGTGGTCGTGATCGTCGTGTAGCGTCTCATAATGTCCCTCCATCTCTCGCTGCTCGAGATCATTCTACTGCACTCATTCGGGGGTAGTTTTTTGTCTTTTTGTGTCTTTCTTTAAGGACGTCAAACAATCTACTGCCTGCCGCTGGTCACGTAGGCCCTCGTTCCATTTCTTTTCGAATTCTTTTCAAATCTTTGTCTTAGTCTGTGTCTATGTCTAGTCATTATAGGTCTTATGTCCTGTCAAAGAGGTTGCACGCCACGACACCCCCTGTATACTGGTTTAAATAGATTCGAATTTAAAATTTACATGACATTGCAAATCGTTTACCTGTCGAACAGATTGATGGCCCCGATGAGCACGTCCGCGGGCAGATCGAACCAGACTTTGAGACAGCGCAACACGTGCGCTGCGCCATCCCGAGCGCCGGTCGTCACTTCGCCACTCTATAGGACCAAAAGGACCAAACCGTTACAAAGTCTACGTGGCTTATTTTCCTCACGTCCGTGTCGACAAACGAGCAAAGGTGGTGAGGGTTTTTTTTATAGTTATATGGGTGGACGAGCTCACGGCCCACCTAATGTTAAGTGGTTACCGGAGAGCCCATAGACATCTACAACGTAAATGCCGCCACCCTCCCAGTATAGTACAACGGCTGCCCCACCCTTTGCAACTGAGTTTTTGCAACTGAGTTTTTGCAACAGTAACACGGACTTGTTGCTGTTGCAAAAAGCTTACCTTACAAACGTCTTGGGTTCAACTGTCAGATTGAAATAAATAAATATATAAATTAACTAGCTGTACCTGTCCGCTTCGCTGGGCATTTAAAATTAACATTATTATTACTCACCCCCACAAAGACTCATCATTAACGCCCCCGCAACTGGTGTAGGGAATCCAACGCTCATATAAATATTAGCCTATCCATTAAGTACATGTATTTTCTACATGGATACCAAGTTTCAAGTCAATCGGATGCACGGTTTAGTAGTTATAACGGAACATCCGTAAAAACCACTCTAGATTTATATATTAGTATAGATATAGATTGAATTAAATAAATATATAAATTAATGTTCACACCTCAGACTCCGCGGGCAAGCGCAGTTTCGGCTGAGACTTTTGCTCGAGGAGCAGGTACTCGTTCAGCGTAGCGTACAGTTGCTGGGCCGAGTCGACGTCGTCACGTGACGTGGACGCGACCGGCGAACGACACTCAGCAGCATCCGGGTGCCTCGCGCCCGCTCTCAACATGATCGGGACGGTTGGCGCGAGCGGCGGGTGAATCGGCACCTTTAAGCCGATAACGAAATGCAAACTAAAAATCGGTTGTCTGTAAAGTCGGTTTACTGACGATAGTTGAACGTGACAACGTCACAAGAAAATACTGATGGAATGGTTTCATTTTTCAAAAGAAAATTTAAATTTTATTTGTTGATAGAAATTTTGTATGGACAATTGACACCGCATTCACTTTTCACTGAACTTCATACTTGACGAAAACATGTAAATGTATTAATGTATAGCAGCTGTCCGCGTGGATGCATCCCTCACTCAAGTAGGAGAGACAGATGTCGAACGTTGTGCCTCTTTGTTGCTCGTTGCGCGCTCTCGCTTGCACTTCAAGCCTTAAATAGAACGCATCAGAGCGAGGTAACGCCGCATGAGTCATATTTTTTCGTGCGTGCAGCCAGCTTTATCGAATTATAAGGCGTTGTCACGTCAAAAACAGCTAGTTTAATTTATGTGGCCAAAGCCGAAAACCTTCAAAGGACGTCTTTATTTCGTGATATATTCGAAGAGCACAAAGCAAAGTCTAAAGTTTCCTTCTCATGAAACGATACCTTCAAAACTCTTGATCAACATGGATATGTTGGATATTAACAATGTATTTTAAGTACTTATTTGAAAAGATCATGAAGTATATCCTTACCTAAGCGTGCGCAGAGCAAGCAGCGGCTAATGTCGTTGTATATGCCCGTGCCGATCCCCCCTCTGCTCGACGACCCGACGACTTGAGGACCGGGCGCGAAGGCCCTAGTACCTGACCACAAGAGAGCGCTACGGTCAACACACTGCGGCCGATGGCCACGAGCGTTGACTGAAGAATGAGGATTTATTGGATAGGAAGTATTCAAAGGTTTTGAGGTGACAAGGATGTACCGTCAAGGTATTCTTCAATATCAAGGCTTAAAAATTGTTTTTAGCCTTCTTTTTTTTATATATTCAAATTATGTAAGGTATTTCCAATTATAGGTATAACGTGAAACGTAAGAATGTGGGATAATAACTTAAAGACAAATAATATTTTTTAATAATCAGAATTTGATTAAAAGCAGACTTCAGATCAATAGTATATCAGGGATTTAATTCGAAAGGAAGGATTTTAGGGATTTGATTCAAAAGGCTACTGGTAAACAATGTCTTGTTGAAAAACAATTGTCCAGCCGCCCTGCGCCTCTGGGAACACAGTCAGATACTTACAGCAGTGGTTGAGCACTAGCTGTAGGGCTCGTACTCTGTGCTTGTTTAAGAGACACAGATACAACAAATCTTAACGTACAAAACTTAGAATTATATATTTTGCCACGGTCTAGATCCCTTGACCCCTTAGTATACACCGGGTTTGTGAAACCCTTAATACTATTGTTATAGGAACCACTTGGGTTCGTCGCGCAATGCGAAAAGGGCCTCTTGACAGGGATATCCAAAAAATATTTCTATTACCTGTAAAATTATCTTGTTAATATTTGCCAAGAATTACAAATTCAATGAGTTATTTTATTCAGGCCAACCAGGTGTCTTTGTATGTGTGTTTTTCTTTAGTAAGCAGCTTAATTTAAACTAAAATCGATTTGCTTATGCCATTTCGTAACTAAACGTAAGCGCTAGATTATAATTGTCAAATGTCTGTAAAACGAACCACAAAATCAGCTCATAACCTTCCAAGACATATTAATCATTTATATCGAAGTGTACGCACAATCACTACACTTGGAACGTTCGTGAAAGATTAGCGCAAAAATGATGCAAATATTGCCGTTATATAAACAATGATAAACACAGTCAAGTGATAAAGTCTTATATATTGCTATAGTTTGTACGCATTGAATTAAAATCAGAAGTCGTTTATAATTCTTTTGGAATAACGACAAAGGGAAGATCTTCATGCTAGCGGATGATATTGCTGGGTAGGTGACCGATGGCCCAAACGTTATTGTTCGAGAAACATTTATATATGTGAGGTTATCTCAAAAATGTCGTAAGCCGGATTCAGGCATCTGTCATATGCAATGGTAAAATTGTTATCAGTTCGATATAAGATCTTCTCTATTATCATTTTATGCCAACCGTTAACACAACAAAACTATTTGTGCTAAAATAGGCAGAGCCGTGGGTCGCTCCACGTGTGGGCGCGCTCGCACACACGCTCCCAGGGGCAATAAATTCAAAATAAAACATCTCTACATATGTAACTATCACATCAGAGTTCATGAAACAGTCGACTGAGACACACACTTACACGTGTGACCTCAAATTGCGTAACAGGCATTTTATTTTAATCCCGACAGCGTATCGTTCAATGAACCCTTACAATTATTCTAACAGATTTCAAGTGTGAACACGTTCGATTATTATCGCAGAATTTATCTTATTAGCATTCCTCTTTTTCCCCCTACTTATTCGCTGGTAGCCTAAGAGACCATTCCAGCTACACTCGGACGGATATGTGAGCTCACGGGCCTCACCAACCTTAGAGAACTTGTCAATACTAGCCCTAGCAAGAGCAGTGTTTCGCAGAATCTACCACCGGATCGGAAACACGACCCACTGAGAAGATCCGGCGAGAAACTCAGTGGGCTTGCATCCCTCAGAGACGTTAGCGTGAATATCATGCAGTTGAAAATGACATCCAAATCCCAAATGACTTGGAACACCGTTTGTTAAATAATAAGCTGTTTACGCCATTTAAAAAAAAACAACGTCAGGGGCACTCGTTTCGCGCCTCGTTTGAAAAAAATTATCTATTTTAATCCATCACAAAGTGTGGGCGAAAACGAACTGCCAACTCAGGGCAGTTAGGCCGCAGTGGATTCAAAACTTCCGTAGCGTATAGTTTTTTTTTTTAAATACCCTCAAAGATTTTTGTTTTTTTAATGAAATATTAACAGCCGCATCTTTTCTAATCCGTACTGTATCTAATTAATAATCTGTACTCCATCCAATTTTCACAGTATGCAGTGAAATAGTGGTATTTTCAAATTAAAAAAATTAATATAACTCAATAATAAGGTAACAAAAAAAACTTTTAAAATCTAGAACAGCACAACTTCACTTAACTAACACAATTATAAAAAACTACACTAAACTACAAAAAATACATATTTTTTTTATATTTTATGTATAGTTTATTGCTCTTTATAAAATTATTAATTGTGTTTCTTCAAAATCTACATCGAGGGGTGAAAGGCTATTTGATTTTAAGCGACATTTCGCTTAACACGCGACATTTATCTTTGTAATTAAAGGTGAGTTTTATTTTATATTAGCATAGTGGCCCGCCCCGGCTTCGCTTGGGAAGTAGCGCACGCAATGTAAAGAATTTTAGGTTATTTTTTTACACATTAAATAACATTATTGGAGTTTCAGTAAGGATCCCTATTTTTTTTTAAATATAATAAATATAGCCTATGTCACCCGGGGATAGCGTAGCTTTCCAACAGTGAAAGATTTTTTTAAATCGGTTCTGTACTTTCGGAGCCTATTCAAAACAAACAAACAAATCTTTCCTCTTTATAATATTAGTATAGATGAACAGTTCGACGCTTTTAATAGAGCTTCAATTACGTTAACCTCATTCAAATAACTCAAACAGTCTTGTTACGATATTTTTTCCAAATTTAAAACTTCGAAAGTTGCAAAAATTTCGCTTAAATCACATAAGATTTTCACCCCTCGTATATAATATTATTATGTATCAGTTATCATCTTATCAGTGGAATTATAAAAACGACCACCCAAGAACGTCCAAGAAAATTTCAATTTTAAATTTCTTGAACTTTCTTAATCAATTCCCTGTTTATTAATATTTCGTCGTTGATAACAAAAATATTATCAGTGACGTATATTCCATACGATATTCAAGTACCAACGGACGAATATCACGCAATTACATAAACAAACAAAGGTTGTTGACTGCAAACACATTCAGTGTACATTCAGACGAAAACAAAACTTGTTTATTATAGATAACATAGTAGATATTTGACTCTAAGCCGCCTTCTACATATAATTTAAAAATATGAGCACCTCAGTCGCGTTGCTTAATATTTAATCAGCACATTATAAATAGTACTTGGCATTTTATTTTCCCTACCTAATCCCTGGTGGTCTAAGGGCCTATTCCAGCTACACGCGGACGTGAGCTCACGGGGCTCAACCTGAGAAAATTTCAGAAGATCAGGCCGAGAAACTTTTTTTTTTATTGCTTAGATGGGTGGACGAACTCACAGCACACCTAGTGTTAAGTGGTTACTGGAGCCCATAGACATCTACAACGTAAATGCGTCACCCACCTTGAGATATAAGTTCTAAGGTTTCAAGTATAGTTACAACGGCTACACCGCCATTCAAACCGAAACGCATTACTGCTTCACGGCAGAAATAGGCAGGGTGGTGGTACCCACTCTCGCAGACTCACAAGAGGTCCTACCACCAGTAAGTGATGTATAAGAGTTCAAACAGGAACGCATTACAGTTTCGCTATAGAAATAAAGTGATGATAACCAATCCTTGCGGGCTCACAATACGACATACCACTCATGACAAACAAGTGCCTATTACTATTATTATAGCATCGTGCTCATTACTGTTGCCAGTATATTTCCCTTTGCCCAATTATACTAACTATAGAAAGCATTAAACTACCGTTTAAATTTTCCAAAATATCAAAATTAATTAGACAATGTAATTAACGTATACGGCAACTATAAAAACCTTATTGTTCAAGTCAGCTTAATTTAATATTTGTCTCACATAATAAAAAAAATTAATTTAAATTCGCCAAGTACCAAAACTAGTTACGTGACGCAAGTAACCACAGAGCTATTTATGTAAACAGTCGGCTGCATAGAAATTTCAGTGGCAAAAGCAAACATTTGTACAAACATACGTAAGTAATTTTAAATTATAGGTGTTGAAAGAAAACAATGGCTTTTGTTTTATTTAAAACCGTACTAAAAGTCACAACGGCTGCACATTTAACTCCGTTGAGAGCCTCTTACAATAATATGCTTAATCCAAATTTACATCCAAGCCAAATTAAGCGTTTTTAGTGCTGAGCTTATTTTCACATATTTAGTAGACATTGCTAGGGATTTTTTTTAAAAAAAGGACCTTATAAACTTTAAGTTAAAAAAAAAAACAAAAATCAATGCTCACAGCGAAATAATTTTAAAGTGTTATTAATTTGTAAATGTTACTACTTGTTAAAAAGTGCGCGTGCGCGCTAAAACACGTCCGTACAAGTCGATACCTAATACCTATGATCAATTTGCGCAATAGTCGCTATTCCGACGCTCCGCTCTTTATACGCAACAAAAGAGTCGATCTATCGATGGTTCGCGCTCAGAGAGTCAAATACAATGTGACCTTTGAACGTCTAAATTGATTACAAGGAAACGCCAAGTACATATTGAGTATTGCGCAGTAGCGTATTTTAACCAAACCGGTTTCACGTTGCGATACTAAGGACCTTCCACTAATGGCAGTGCGTCGTTTTTCAATTAGCCACTGACTTTCTCGACGGATCTTCTCAGTGGGTCGCGTTTCCGATCCGGTGGTAGATTCTGCGAAGCCCTGCTCTTGCTAGGGCCAGTGTTAGCAACACTCCCGGTTTGAGCCCCGTGAGCTCACCTACTGGCTCGGTGAATCTAGAATAACCCCTCGAGGTTACCAGAATAGGTAGGAAAAAAAAGAATAAAAGATACACTAAACATTAGGGCCGCTGTCACATCTACGCGCTAAAAAAACCATTTTGCATTA